CGCAGAGCTTCTTGTTCTTGAACTGAATAACCTTCATGTCCATCTCCTCCTGCAAAAGACAATATGGGGCAAAATTATAGAAGCTTCAACAGAAAATGTGGAGAAGTCAATCTAGTCTACAAAGGTTTTCAAGATTGTGACAGAAATACTAACGTTGACAAGTTTGGGGACTCTAAAATTTGTTTTTAAAAGAAATTAATACTTTTATTCAGCAAGGATGCAATTAATTGATCAAAAGTGATAGAAAAAAGTCATGATAGCAACATTAAACGAACCGTAGAAGAAACTCCTCCAATGCGGATGGGCTCGATGAGCGTAGTGGTAGTCTTCTCCTCTTTCTTCAGCTTTTTTTCAGGAGGGTCAGGTGGACTATCCCCTCCTGAGGGGCGCTTCCCACCCCCTGTGGCAGACATGCTTCCCTACAAAATTCACGTAGTGTTAAACTCAACTTTAAACATATTACTTTTATATCATTAAGACCTTAATCACAGACAAATTATAGGCAGATAGATAGCATTATTAAACCTTTTAAATCTGTCATCATTTACTCACGCTCATGTTGTTCCAAACCTGTGTGACTTACTCTTTTGTGGAACACAAACAGAGGTGTTAGGCACAATGACAGCCTCAGTAATAATTTCATTGTGTGGAAAAAACGATGCAGTTTAAAGTAAATGATGGCTGACATTGCCACTTCTAAACACAACATTTCCTTTTGTGTTCTACAGAAAAGCATGTTATTAGGAATAACATGAGGGTGAGTACATGATTGAACATTTCATTTTGGGATTCACTATCACTTTAAGTAAGACGATCAGTACTAATATTATCAAACAAGACACTGTAAAGAGATTTTGCATATATAATATTCACCGAAGTGGCCTAAAATTGCCTTTACATAGTCAAGATATTAATCTGTTCTCCCTTAACATAACTAAATGGTGAACGATAATGATATGATTTAAACAGAAACAACTGTCACTTAACTCACGAATTTGAGACTTTCTGATATATCAATGCTGGCTAACGACGACGATCTCATTTTTATTTATTTGAGTTTTTTTTTATAATGAAACAAACAATAAAAGACGCTTTAACAGTCATTTGAATCCTATCACATATTTTTTAGAATAAAATATTATTTTCTTCATTAATTTCAAGCAACCACGGCGCTTTAAGTGAGGTTAGCTTCAATGCTAGGTAAAGCATAGCAAGCGAGCTACAACCGTCAAAACATAGGCCTTTTTATAGTACAAATTACAGTGTGTTATAACTATATGTCATAAGCAATACGACAACGTTTTAGCAACCTCACTGTTACAAATGTGTATTAAAATATGTTTGTTTTAGTGATTTTCTTTGCACCCACAAACAAACCTCCACTTCGGCCGGAAACCAGGAAGAACAGTAGAATGTGTGAACACTGACACTACAGGAAAAAGTATTGTCTATCAAAATAAAAGTGAGCGTGTATAGACCTGTTTTTATACAGTCTATGGTTGAAACGTTTTTGTTTGTAGCACTCATACCTTTTTGGACATTTGTTGTAATCACAGATGTATTTGCTCGATTGAGCGATTTGAATAACTTGATTGTTGTGCACTCTTTCGTGCTGGTCTGATACATTACGTCACTTCCCCTAAATCGCAGGGTGAAAATAAAAGTTTTCAAACGTTTTCCTTAAAATGAATTTTTTCCTTGATTCGTAGAAAACACATGTAATAAAGACAATAATTACATTTTATTCCTATTTTTTTATTGTTTAATTTAATCTAAAAAAAAAACAAAAAACCATAGCGTGCACCCTCGTGTGAAGTTTTCTGGGCGCTTATCAGTGGTTGGTGGATGTTTTTCAGAAAAGAAAAAAAAAATCAGTTGCTAGGATACGATGCAACACATACAGGTGGTTTAGATCAATATTTTATAGAGCCGTTTTCAGAGACTGCCAGGGAGAGAAATGAAGCCATTCGAGAACATTAGCGTAAACGCTATACATCTAGAGATCAGTGATAAATAGTAATTTCAAGAATATTTTATCATTTTTTGTTAATTCTTTTTAGGTTCCCCAGCCTCCAAGGGCACGAGTGCTGTTATGGTAGGTCCCAAACAAAATCCAGTTCAGTTTGAACATATTCAGACACAAATACCCTTAAACTCTTGTTGATTGCCTTTCTAGGACAGATCTGAAAAACAGTGATATGGAAGAGATTGAGAAGATCAATTCCATACCAGAGATCGAAAGGTTTACCTTTATATTGTAAACTTTATGTTGCCTAACAAAGGTATATTAAATGAGTATTTGTGTTATTATTATTTTAAACATTCCATCCTAATCTGTTAGTTTTAAATAGTCTATCATGTTATATAATACATCAATTAGTGACATTATAAAATTCAACAGTTAAACACAGACACCCTCTTTAAATCTTTTAAACGTTCAATCCCTTACTAAGCAGTGGGTTAATAAAACTTTAACTCTTTATTTGTATATTATTAAGCAACCTGCTAATTTCCCTGCAACTGAATAACCAAATTATAATGAATTAGTATAAATGTCTAAGCTAGACCAAAACACATTTCTAAAAATCTGTTAGACCCTTTTATAGCAATGCGACCCTGAAATACATAACAAGCACATTCATTTTGTCATATTTACAAAGATGAAAAGGTGCTGTGGAATGGCTCTAATAATAATTGATGCATGAGGTTCAGAACATTGCAGGTATTACATGAATGCAGTCTGCTTCTCCTCTAGGATTTTGTGCCGTGCATTATTGGCTTCTGATGCAGCTCAGCCAAAGCGGAGAGTACTACTTGAGTTGTACACCAATCTAGTGCTGTTCTGCAAAGAGCAACATTTTAACAGGGAACAGACGTCTGTACTCATCTCCATTATCAAAACTGTACATCAGTTTAACACAGGTGATGCACCCATAGTACTCGTGTTAATAAAGAGTTAACTGTATCGATATAATTTTATACAAGAAAATATAAACATTCTTTCTTGTCAACTTTTCAGAAACACCCCTCAATAACACAGATCACTGTATGACCTATTGCAGTGAACTTCTGCTTTGCCATTCAGTCAGGGTATGTACATACACTACTGTTCAAAAATCTGGGGTCAGTAAGATTTTGTTTGCAAGACACTAATACATCTATTCAGCAAGGACACATTTTGATCAAATTGATCAAATGTTTATAATGTTACACAAAATTTTGTTTCAAATAAACACTGTTCTTTCTATTCATCAATAAATATGTTAAATATAAACATATTATTAGATAAAATATGTTAAATACATTAAGCCAAACAACCATTTTTATCATCAATAATAATAATAAGAAATGTTTTTTGGGCACCAAATCAGAACACTGAAGACTGAAGTAAAATTCAGTTTTGCCATCATATGGCATACATTTTAAAATCTATTAAAATAGAAAACATTTTTTATTGTAATAGTATTTCACAATATTGCTGTTTTTACTGTATTTTAAAACAAACAAAAGCATGAAAGACGTCTTTCAGGAACATAAAAAAAATTGTACAAACCCCAAACTTTTGAACAGTAGTGTAGATCTAATGTCTGCTTAGACATACGTTTTAGAAACCACACATAGCTAAAGGTTTTGTACTCAATCCTCTTTTTGTTCTTTCCCCCATTAAACACAGAGGCCTCCTTTCAGTACTGACCTTTTCAGCTCGGAGCAAGTGACACAAATTTTGTTCTATTTCATCAACACATATATGAGACATTATTTTTTATACAAATGCATTTTTACCCCAGAGGTATGTATGAGGCTTTGAATTGGTCAGGCCAAATACTGTATGCAATTTAAGTATTAATTTCTAATTTATGTTAACAGGAATGTTGTGTTAACTTTATGACCTCTTTCTCATGCATGGTAAAGGTACAGTTGGATATATCCTTGTCATATATTGGAATACTTGAGAACACAAATGTAGAGGAAACTTCCCAATCTGGTACAGTAATGCACACCTGATAAAATAAAATATATCTTTAGCATACAACTGAGAACTGAAACCATATACAATTGTTGTTCAAAGAAAGTGTTGCAGATGGTGAAAGACAAACTGAGAGGGAGACAGAAAAGGATGGAGAAGTTCAACAAAGTGCTGCACTAGAAATGAAGACCACAGAGACAGAGAGTCTCAAACAAGGTACTTAATATATTACAGCTTGTCAAAAGGTTTAATTGAATTCTTTACGTAAATATGACAGCTCCAAAAACAAACTAGCAAGCATGCACAAGCCATCAGCTCTAAAGATCTATATTTGTTAGTACAAATCAATGTATAAGATCATCCATTTCAACTCCTGTTTGACAAATTATTATAAAAGAAAATATATTTTTATATATTTTTTTTGTTTTTAAAACATCTAACAGGGAGAGAATTTAATATATAAAATAATTACAAATAGAAAATTTCAATAAAATTAGTGGAGTCAAATTATACATGAATGCTATTGTCCACAAGACACAAAGACATTCAGGCAAAAAAAAAAATGTTTTGCTGTTTTTTTTTTTTTAGAATTTATTTGAGTAATTTAGAAAACTGTAAAGACAAGTGGACCAGATTTTTAAAACAGCGATTACATATTATTTATGCCAGACTGCATGCTCTAATATGTAATACTCACTACATACAACAAATAAAATAACTATGTTTTTTTTCCCACAAGGGTCTTCTCTAAATTCTGAGCTTAGGACCATAGTTCAAAAGGAAGTAAGGGATGAAGTGATGTGTTTGACCTCTCAGCTACAGCAACGGCTCCAGGACAGTGCTGATCAGCTTAATGATGCCATTAGTAAACTGGAGACCAACATAAAAGTTAAGAAGTAAGAAAATATGCCCCACGTCTTTACTTTTGGAAACCACTAATTTCAAAAGCAAAAACACACAAAATACAGTAATTGCATATATTATTCATATATGTGTACCTGTTTAGAATTAGTACAGTACCTTCATGATGAATGGATAATGTCTAGTCAACTGTGATAAAAATCAACAAGTGGTAAAACATATTTCAAAAATAAAAATGAATAAAACCTGTACACACAATTTTGTATGGATTTCAAAACAACTCTCAGTAGGGTTACACAACTGTAATGCTATGTTTCAAGTATGTTATCCTTTGTATTGAAAGTCTTAAAGTCCACTCCACATTGTTAAATGTTCCTTGTCCATTTATGGTTTAGTCTTCAACATCCTGGAATTGTTTTCGAAGCATAAGAATGATAATAAATTCAAATACAATCTGCTTTGTGTCAAAAACAATCAAAGGCTTGAGAGCCTGAACAGGAGACAAGCTCCGTTAGGTAATTGTAAATCCGAGTCATTTTTTTTTTTTTACTTATCTCTTCATATCAAGCTGGTCCATATAATAAGCAATATCAGATGATACCACCAATATATTTGTGATAAAACTTACATTTTAAAAACATAAAATCCACAGTGAGTGGTTAAAATGAGGTCACATGGCATGTTGTTAAAATCAAAAAGCGCCATCCCTCTTTTAAAGATAATCTATAACTATTTGTGTTTTGTGCACCTTTTGGACAGGCAGGCTATCAGTCCCTAACTTAAAAAAAAAGAAAGACAAAAACAATACAACTGTAAATAGACAGACGAGGAATATCTTCAGAAACAAAAATATGACCTTTAGTTTTCAAGGTCTTCAAGGCCCAGTAGAATGATTTTAGCTGTGTTCTGGAATAGAGCAGCTCGGTTCTGTTGCTCCCCTTTCTTGACCCAGTGTCCATATATGCGGAAAGCACAGCCATCGATCAGCTTGCGCACACCGCGGATGGAATAAGGGTCTCTTGCTAGGAGCTCCTTTGTTAATGGTCTGGCTCGGTAGTAGCGGCACTGCATTCGTATACAAGCTAGCACGGTCAAGATCAGGGCCTGAAAATGCAAAGAACAGTTTTTAATTACAGCTGGAATTATAATTTTATGACTGTTGTCTACAAAAAACACAAAAACCAAGTCAAGTTAAGAAAATGTTTTTTAAAATAATTTTTTTCAGTAATTTAGAAAAACCTGTAAAGACAAGTGGAAATGATTTGGTAACACTTTAGAATAATGGCCTGTCATTAAACATACACTTATCATCAAAAAGTTTGGGGTCAGTATAAATTATTTTTTAAAGAAATTAATACTTTTATTCAGCAAAAGTGCATTAAATTGTTCAAAAGTGACAGTAAAGACATTTAGAATGTTACAAAAGATTTCTATTTCAAACAAATGTTTGTTCTTTTAAACTTTGTATTCATTTTTTAATTCACAAAAATATATTTTTTAACATTGGTAATAATAAAAAATGATTCTTGAGCACAGAATCCACAAACCCAAACTTTTGAATGGTAGTGTATATAAATAAAACACACAAACACACACACACACACACACAGGTTTGTTTTTGTGAACTGTGGGGATATTTTATAAGCGTAATGGTTTTTATACTGTACAAACTGTATGTGCTATTGCCCTACACCAACCCTACACCTAACCCTACCCCTTACAGGAAACTTTGTGCATTTTTTTTTTCTCAAAAAAACTCACTCTGTACACCTAACCCTACCCCTTACAGGAAACTTTGTGCATTTTTACTTTCTCAAAAAAACTCACTCTGTATGATTTATAAGCGTTTTGAAAAATGGGGACATGGGGTAATGTCCTCACAAGTCACCTTCTCCTTGTATTCCCTATGTCATACCCATGTCATTATACAAATTTCTTTGTGTCCTCATATGTCAAAAAAACGCGCGCACAGACACACACACACACACACCTTAAATGTCTTCCTGGGGCTAAAGAGCCGCACTTCCTCCTTTTGGTACTGACGGAAGAAAGGATGAGCTAAAGCTTGCTCGGCTGTGAGGCGAAGAGTGGGTTCCACCACTAAAAGCCTTGAGATCTAAGGGAGTTTAAGGGAATACACATATGGATACATTTCTTAATATTAGCAGGTAGCCTGTATATGCTATAGGCTGAGAGAATGCTAAGAGAATCTCACCAAGTCTTTGACGGTGTCAGACCGGTCATCCCACTCTGGAGAGCTAAACTGGTACCGGCCTTCCATGATCACTCTCAGCATCAGCAGCTGTTTACGATGCCAGAATGGTGGAGACCCAGCAAGAAGCGTGAACATGATCACACCACAAGCCCACCTGTGGGAAAACATGGAGCAAAACGATGAACCAACTTTCTTTTGTGACACAAAGAAAGGTTTAATAAGGTTTAATAGCAAAACTCAGCTTATTTACTCACAGGTCAACCTCTTTCCCATATCCCTCGTGTGTCTCATCCATGGAGCACTTCAGAATCTCTGGTGCCAGATATCCTGGTGTTCCACACAACTCTAACAAGGGAAATGGAAAAAGACCAGTGTTACAAACAATGTATGTTTTTAATAAAAAAAATAAAAAACAAATCTGAAAATCTGCTTTGATTTGCCACTGTGGAAGGACAGGGTTGATTTTTTTTCACCTCTTAGTTTTTCATCAGGCCCCAGCTGGACTGAAAAGCCAAAGTCAGAAAGTTTAATGTGTCCCTGGTCGTCTAGCAGAATATTTTCAGGTTTGAGATCACGATGTACAATATTTAGTGAGTGTAGATATTGGACAGCCTCCAGAAGAGCACGCATCATACTCCTAAAAGCGAGAAGAGATTTGCAGGAAATATTTGCGGCCAATAATGGTATGGGGAGAACAATTTGCTACAATAGAAACTTAAAGCAAGATCTCACCTGGTTTCCTTTTCACTGAGAGTCACTTTTTCAGTCAAGTAATCAAATAGCTCCCCTCTCCTCATGCTGTACAAAAAGTTGTGTGTGAAATTACAACATATACAGTACGGTTTAAAAGTTGGGGGTCGCTAAGATACGTTAAAGTAAAAGAAGTCTCTTATGCTCACCAAAGCTGCAGTTATTTGGTCAAAAATACAATAAAACATTAAGTTAAATATTATTACAATTTAAAAGAACTGTTTTCTAGTTTAATATATTTTAAAATGTAATTTATTCCTATGATGGCAAAGCTGAATTTTCAGCAGCCATTACTTCAGTGTCACATGCTCCTTCAGAAATCATTCTAATATGCTGATTTGCTGCTCAAGTAAGATTTTTTATTATTATCAATGTTGAAATGTTTGAAGAAAACATGATAAAAAAAATTTCAGGATTCTTTGATTAATAAACAATAAAGATCGACATTTATTTTAAATACAAACAAATATATAATATAATTATAATTATTATTATTATTATAATTATAATATTATATTATTAATTATAATTGTCATTTTTGAACAATTTAATGCATCCTTTCTGAATAAAATTATCAATTTCCTTCAAAAAAATAAAAAATAAAAAATTCGTACTGACCCCAAACCTTTCAAAGGTAGCGTATAACAATATAACATAATATAATATATATATATACTTACAGGTCAAATACCAAAAATATGAAGGTTGTTGATTCATAAGAATCAATAAGTGTAACTGAAAAATGAGCACAAATAAGGTCAGTTACTACTCAGAAAGGTTTCAACTGATGTTCAAACATTAGCAGTAAAATTCAGACTCACTGATGGACGGGTGGCCCTTCACCACATTGAGCACATGGATCTCCTTCAGTGTGGAACTTTTCACCTCCTCTAACTGCTGTTCTGTCATTTTCTCTGCAGTGATCTCAATGATCTTCACCGCAAACTCCTGCCCCGTGTGTTTGTGTACACATCTGCGCACCACACTGCTCACACCTCTGCACAGGGGACAGTTCAGTTACAAGACATCTCAATAAATCACATCAAAACACTTGCTGAATCAAAAAAAAAAAAAACACACACCTTCCAATCACCTCTTTGGGATCATACTTCTGATAAAACTCTTTTGCCCCGACCCAGTCGGGCAGCTCATCTCCAACAATGATATCGCGAGTCATACTGATAACCTAAACCAGACACATTTATTTACTTTGAATGAGTGAAGAGAATGTATTCATGTTTGCTTCTTCTGTATTAGAAATCTTGATTGCACAAACAAACAAAAAAATAAATAAATAAAATGTATATAAAAAATAAGATTGTTTTAACAAGAATATCTTCCTATGTATATAAATATTACAAAAATAAAACTGATAAAAATAATAATAATATTGTGCATACTTCTAAGACTTATTTTTATCTCCACTGTCTATATTTTGTGGAATTAGAGCAAAATGGACATGCAGTAAACTGCACGTACACTAAAAGGACGTGTGTACGTGCATGTGTGGTTGGGGGTTGTGTATGGTTCAGATACGGATACAATCAGCAATATTTTCAGGGAGAGACAGTAAATTATTATAGCATGTTATTTTACAAGTTCGTAATACATGTCGTAAATTAATTGTTATAAAGGACATATGCTTTCCTAGTTGCCATTTGTTTTCTTTACAACCCTAAAAACATGCTGGTCTACAGTGGACAAATGTGTACCACTCTCAAAGTACATTATTTAAAAAAAATTATAATAATAATCAGCGTAATACCCACATACATGAAATAACAGCAAATGGTAGCAATAACTGAAAACAGTCTAACTGTTCTGAAAAACGAGTTGTTGCGATCAATGACCTCGTATGCTGTCTTGTCCCAACCCAGAAAAGCCGAAAGTGTACTCACAGCCACTTCCACAAAATCAACCGAAGTGCACAGTAATCTGGCGGTTCAGTGTTTTCAACTGTCCGGCTGAAAACTTGCATTTGAAGCTACCGACAATACTGCCATAGCACTGTTGAAAACTTTTATAGGGCTCCCGGGATATGTCAACAATACCCTCGTCGATTCGCACTTCTAGTTCTCTCTGCCTTGTAAATGACAGCTGCTATACTGTCGTCATTCATCACTGCCACCTATAGGATGGAGCGGGTACTGGCACAACCTATTGTTCATGTTGTTCTGGCTTTACCAAAAGAAATTTAACAAGATGTGGCAACAGATATAAAACAAAATGGTTTTACATAAAACAAAAATGAATAGTAATTTTTAAAAATGTAATCAGACTCCAATCATAAAAGTAGACTAATAAAAGCTGTTTTATTTTACATAAAGTGGGTTGCCTCATGGGGTCCAACATGCTGAGATCCCATGACCAGCTGAATACTACATATGGTGCATTAAAGGGGTCATATGATGCTTTTTTAAAGATCATTATTTTGTGTATTTGGTGTAACAGAATATGTTGACATGCTTTAATGTTCAAAAAACACATTATTTTTCAAATACTGTACATTATTGTAGGTCCTCTATGCCCCGCCTCTCTCAAACGCTTCGTTTTCTACAAAGCCCCCTCCTT